ATGTCCCAATGCGGGGCCGTCCTGAAATTGAGCCTTGAGACTCAGCGAGGCTTTCCTGGATAAATAAAACACCGTATTATCAATCCACCGGTTAATTAAACAGTGGCCCTCGCATTACTCAACAATAAAACATCTCCAGATATATTCCCTCCTTATAGAGAGACACTATAGGTGAGACGATGTGATGTTAAATCACTTGAACTGGATGCATGACACGTGGAAAAACAGTAAGAATTCAGGTCGGTTTACAAAAACATTCAGGACCAAGTTGAAATATTACGTATGATTAAATATAAATATATATATCGGCTCGGTTATAAATACATTTCCTGATAGAGCGCCAATATATATTCTTTCTAAACAATCAAGCTTTACACAGCCCTGGTTTGAAGTCTCGGTGGTTTAGAAAAAACAAGACCGGTTTGAGTTACAATGCAGAAAAAAAATCACCCAGAATTCACCGCAAACTCTTGAGGTCTCAGAAGCTCAACACGCTTGAGAGCCTGCCTGCTTGGACGATCACCACATGTGTAACACATGTACCACATGTACCACGTGTACCACGTATACCACGTGTAACACATGTACCACATGTACCACATGTACCACATTTACATGTACCACATGTAACACATTTACATGTACCACATGTACCACGTGTACCACATGTACCACGTGTAACACATGTAACACATGTACCACATGTACCACATTTAACACAGGCCACTGTGAAGCGAGGTGGTCGGCAAAGGGCACGTGCAGCAACATCGATTTGTTGTTGCGCCGCACGACACTCCACAAACGTGCGCCCTCCTCACCTCCACCGAAACCCGCACCGACCAGCTGGGTGAAGCATGGACAAATCACCCCCCCCCCCCGCCCTTCACGAACCGAACAGCGTGGAGCGGTCCTCATCTAGCAGTGGATCGACAAAAGGGTTGCACATGTTGGAAGTGATGCCATGAAGGAAAAAGGCGAGTTCCCCTGCCAATGCATCTGCATGTTAACGAGGCTCGATGGAAACAGAGGCCAGCAGCTTCTGAGATCCAGAGTACGAGTTTGGGAATACTCACCCTGTGACCTCACGCGCGCGGTCTGTTTCATAGTGTCAGCCTGGTCATCTCTGAGTGTTTCATGGTCTCAGCCTGGTCATCTCTGTGTGTTTCATCGTCCCAGCCTGGTCATCTCTGTGTTTCCTCGTCCCAGCCTGGTCATCTCTGAGTGTTTCATAGTCTCAGTCTGGTCATCTCTGAGTGTTTCATAGTCTCAGCCTGGTCATCTCTGAGTGTTTCATAGTCTCAGCCTGGTCATCTCTGTGTGTTTCATCGTCCCAGCCTGGTCATCTCTGTGTGTTTCCTCGTCCCAGCCTGGTCATCTCTGAGTGTTTCATCATTCCAGCCTGGTCATCTCTGTGTTTCCTCGTCCCAGCCTGCTCATCTCTGAGTGTTTCATAGTCTCAGCCTGGTCATCTCTGTGTGTTTCATAGTCTCAGCCTGGTCATCTCTGTGTGTTTCATAGTCCCAGCCTGGTCATCTCTGTGTGTTTCATAGTCTCAGCCTGGTCATCTCTGCTTGCATTAAGCTCTACCAGCAGAACAATCGGTCGTTCATCACTGTGTCAAATTAATTGGTCAACTGACCACGTGAGCCAAAAAATTGGTGCGTTAAACGCACGTACACCAAGTGGTGATTTCATTAGTTTGGCTGTCTGGTGGTGGTAGAAGGTCCGACTGGTGCCTAAAATTTGGCAGAGATCATTGCATGGCCGAACCGACAAAATCAATAACGAATCATCAATATTGATTAAGTACTCGACACATAAATCCAATAGTGCACGAAAGAATCAGTTTTTCAATTAATGTGTTATACGCAATGGGTTTGCGTGACCCCTGCAGCCACTAGAGGCCACTATATTCACGGCAATGTTGAATAAATCGCACGACTCCAAAATTGCGACTGTCTCAATCTTTCAATTCCACTCTCTCAGCCCGACTCAACTGATGAAGACCAAAATTGACGAAACCGGTCAAATTTGCTTGCTTAAACAAATGTTTCTCGAAAATATACTTCAGCCGAGAGCTTAATAATCAGATATTTACACACTCACTCTTCCACACGGCAGAAGCAGCCACGTGCAGTGGTTTCTCAGTGGATCTGCGACACCGCTTCCGGGTTCATTCCGTAAAATGTTGTGAATTTAAACTATTCAAATATTTTTTTATTTTACCAGGTAAGGACTACTGGGCTATATCGCTCTTTTCAGAATCGACCGGATCACAAATGACAGCTAAACGAAGTGCCTTACGTGGACATTTATGGCTGCCGAATACTCTAAAACGCGTGATTCTAAATGCAGAGGGAATAATCGGAGGACCCGGAGAAAAATCCACACGACCACGGGAGAAGAGACACGCAAGCTCCAAATATACAACAGGCGTCAGGGTCGGGATCGAACCCACAACCTCCTCCATACCAGACGGGGTAGTTAACATCTCACCACTGTGGCACCCTGCACAGCCATTCCCCCAATGGATGTGCATCTCTGATGGATGCAGAGGTGGGAGGGGGGAGGGGGGGAGAATCCCCAGTGTGTTACACCTGCGGTCCCATTTCACCAGCCTTTAAAGTCGACCTACAAATGACTAAATTCGGACCGTACATAGTCAATACCCTACTGGCAGAATAATGCCCGGGTCAAACTTGTAAATGATGCCATCTTAGTCTCTCGAGTTCTCACCTAGCTCAACGAGATAACTTCATTTTTGGGGTTCCGCAATTTGAATGCAATTGAAGGAAAAGGGGAAATGAACAAACTGACAATCACACTTTAACGGCCCAAAGAATTTCAACCGTACGCTAAACGATCCATTATTTATTACAAAATAATCATCAGCGGCGTGGAAAATATTTGTAACAAAATAAATAAGCACACAATACGTCGTCTCCTTCATATATTTATCTCTCCACGTAAAAAAATAAGTTTTTTTTTGTTTACATCCCATCAGCTACAAAGCCTTCTGGTCATGCATAATTTCAATATTCAATACGAGAAAACTCTTGACCGGTTTCAACACACAATGTCTCATCAGCAGAGTCAGCCTTGCTTGAACAATATGCTGGTGAACTGCCAGATGCTAGTGGTAAAGACCCTAACATGCAATCGTAAGACTACATCCTACATGCCTTGTTGTACAGAATCCGTAAAATCAAATTTTTTGTTCACAAGGTTAGATTTAAAGACTTTGGTTACAAATTGGCAAGGTAAGACATTACTATCATACTTAAAACGCTGTCTGTTCTAAGACCAAGACTTGTTAAGCCAGTTAAGGGACCACATGCCATAAGGATGGACTTATAAAAACATGTTATCAGATTGGAACGGTGTTCATATTTTTTTGCAAATTCAGCTTTTTGCATCGTAGTGCACTTATAAGAATTGGTAAAATCTGTAAAAAAAAAACGGCCTCATTCATTTGAACAATTTAATTTATTTTGAAAATCTTTATCATGAAAAAAATAAAACTCTGCTATAAAGGTTAACAAATTTACTGCACAAAGGACAGACGCGACATTAAAATGTGGAAAATGTGTCCATTGCGACGCTTTTGTGGGTTACATCTCATCGTTCATTCCAACAAAAGACGAATCAGTTGTTAAACTTCTCCGTTTCTTCTCCCATGTCTCTATTTTACAGCGTTTTGCCCTGTAGGTTTTTTGACATTTCCCTTAAAACTCTATCCACAACGCCCACATTTAAAAAAATAACCCACTCAATCAGCTTAAGAATATTAGCGCGCTGGCCTCATTTTAAAACCCTTATCCCTTAGACGTTTATACGTGGAGCAAAGGCTGAATCAACTATCCATGAGCCGTACAAAAAACACTCGTTTAAGAGATGCCAACCGCCGCTCATCAAGCGGGCCACACACCCCGCTTCGTTCAGCTAAACCCCCGCGCAAAACAATCTCACCACGGATCATGACGCGCTTCCCATCTCCAAACGATTCACCAACACTGGATGACAAAAAGAGCCGGAGATATCGGAAACACTTCGCCGCAAAAAACACCTAACGACAATCCACCAATTTTTTTTTTTTACTTTAAAGAAACTGACTCTCGAATATTGGGGGCGGGGGAGGGGGGTGGCTTTTTTGTACGCACATTTCTGTAATCTGATTCGTGCTGCCCCATCCAATATTTACAATCGCATTTATAAACTGGGGCAGTACTGGCCAAATCACAACATCACTACGACTGCAGTATTTCACATGCGTGCGCCACAAATCGGTGCGTCTACGAGAGAATTCCTGCTGGAAACTCGGAAGGCTGCTGGATACTCGCAGGCCTCTGCAACAAACCTCATCGGGGCCGTTCCCTGAAATGTTTTGTTCCGAGTTACTATTTTAGTTCTGCCGCATCGCTTCCAGAAAAATTGATGAGCCTCCGACACGAATCTATCCAGACGTGGTTGCACGTAGGCAACCGCTAGTGTCGCGTCGGATCGGCCAGGGTTTTTATTTGGAGAGGTTTTAACAAATTGTGTAGGGTGAACCGCGAGTACATGATGAACAGAAAATGTTCATGGGAGAAAACTTCCATCCTCGCGCTTGCAGTCACTTAAAAGAAAAAGGGTTGCTCAGCCACAACAGAGGTGGGCATATTGCAATTTTTTTACACGTCCGGAAAAAAACTGTGACGGTGCGTCCTGGTCTCAGCTTGGTCATCTCTATATTTCGTAGTCGCTATATTTTTCCTCATCTCAGCCTGGTCACCTCCGCATTTTCACTGTCAGACGCGTTTGTGAAAGTGTAGCCACGTGCACGCGTGCGTCGTTCGGTCAACGTCCGCGTGCAACAGCGGGCAAACGTGCGCGGTGCGTTTCAGTGGCGAGCTGCTTACCCAAAAGTAGTCCACAGTATCACCGATACGCTACTCGCCCACGTCCGTTCGCTCCGCCGCTGACAAGACACGAATAGGTACACACCCACACACCGCTGGCGGTGCGTGTCCCCGCATCTTCACCCTCGCACACGCGTGGGTGACGCGCCCAAGTACAAGGGACGTCACATGAAGTTATCAAGCTCAGCATCGAGCGCAGCTGCCATCTCGTCTGCCTCCGAGCTGCTTCCCTCTGGCTCCTCTTCTTCCTCCTCCTCCTCGCTCTCGTCTCTCCTGCGCTTGTGTCCTCTGTTGCGCGCGAACACACGCACGCATGCACACACACACGGGCGGTTCTCGTTGCGTGCACACAGCAGCGATGTCACCTGCCCGTCGAATCCACGCCACGTGGCGGATGACACAGTGTCCGCAACTGCTTGCGCATGTGGCTGAGCAGATGTGATCTAGTAAGGAGGGACAGCCTAGGATGAACCAACTTATATGACAACTCACGTATTTTTTTGTATTTGGTGTGTGGTGGTCACATGCCTGTGAACCGCCAACTTAATTTCCTCAAATGCCACGTATATTTCCACTTTGGGGCAATGCTATTGATGAAAGTTAGGTTATCGTGATGTGTGATTGTGCACCACTGCGTGAAGCAATGATGAGCGATGCGATGTTTACGATGGTGACAATGCGGAAAATTATGCCAACTACCACGATAAAAGTAAGAATATGCCGATGATAAACACAAGAATGCCAGCACTACTGGCAACGCCATTGGTACGGCTCCTGCTGCTGACGATTACGATAATGGAGATGATGCTGACACTACCATTAACGACACTGATGCTGATGGATGATGCTGCAGTTTCAAAAATAACACCGGTGATGCCAAGATAATCGTACGTATTTTTATTATTGCGCCTTTCATGACATCATTAATCCACGGTGCCTTACCAAGTACTGCATAGGTAAAGATAAAGATGCAGCCCTGCAATTAAATCGCTCACACCGCTGTTAGCAGTAAGGGCCTCCCCCCCCTCCTACTCTCCCACGCTGCTCAATCATCTTGGAAGAGGGTGAGAGTACTTCCCAATTGAGCCCGCTACACGGGACCTGCATTGTTTCAACTGTCGCGCACGATACACCAAAACCGGTGGCCTCTTCTAGATTGCAAGTCCAGTGTGAAATGTGCCAACCATTAACCCAGTGGTTCTTAATTTTTACTGCTGCCTTGCACCGCTTTGGTTCTCATTCGTTAAACAATGTGCAATGTTAATAAACACATAGGCGCGATGAAACAAAGTAGTCGTACTTACATACCCGTGTTTAATGTGTTTCGATGAATTTACCTTCTAAACCAATCTGGCCATCTTCCTGGTTCTTTCGGTAAAGTCACGTAGAAGGGAAATAATAAAATAATAAAAATTAAACATAATATAATAATTCTCACGACGTTTCAGTCAGACGCTGTCTTCCCGACAGACCTGTTCTTCACCTGAGGACGGCTGCTTGCGTTGTGGCCGAAACGTCGTGAGAATTATTTTATTATGTTTTATTTTATTATTTTATTATTTCCCTTCTACGTGACTTTACCGAAAGAACCAAGAAGATGAATCCCTGCAGTCACGAAAGCTTTAAATCGAAATTTAATCTGGCCATGTCTCAAGCGCCCAGAAGGGGCATCTCGCACCCCCAGCGGATGCATGCACGCCAGGTCAAGAACCACTGCATTACACCATGGCAGCGTCCCTACCAAGTACGTGACAAGAATCCAAATACCACCACCTCCACTAATGCTTGTGCAACACTGTACCCATGGTGCACACTTTAAACCCATTTCACTCTAGTCATCGCTTCCATGCCAAGTTCGATTGGAAAGGGCACTAGGCTCATTAGCCCCTTGCTATGACGCCTCGTTAAAATAATCGGAGCCCACGACATAACTTTCTGCAGGAGATGATGAGCTACCGAGAAAACTCAAACTTGATACAAAAAAAAGCATCTATCACCAGAACAAATTAAGCATGAGCAGAAATGACAGCAGACGTGAGTCAGCTAATCTGGCCTCCAGCGACGGGTTGTGATTCATCACATTTACTAAATATGAATCTGGCTCAACCCACCCACCCCCCGACAATTAAAGAAATTGTCCCAATCAAGGGACACGCTTCAATTCAAGGTTATTTGTGTAATTGTATGCGTCTCACCCGAACAACCTTTGCCACATGCTTAGTCGATGTAATGTCTGCCTCACTTGTACTGCTTTTCATTTGCTCGCTTATTTGTTGTTGAAAACTAGCCAAGAAAAAGTTTGCACGTAACTTACCCCGGCCCCCCCCCCACCTTATCCCATTACCTTTCCACGGATTTATCGTTTCTTTCTCGCACCACAGCCGTGAACGTCACACTGAAAATGACCATTCCAAAAAGAGCAACCCTCGTCATTATGTGAATGCGGATGATGCTGCCGACAATTTAAAAAAAGATGATAACGCGAATGTGAGAAGACGCTGGGTGACTGTGATATGACAATAACGTTAGTGGAGATGACGCTGAGTGACTGCCAAATGATAATAAGCGTGAGACGAGTTGACGCTGGTGAGACCACGACGATGTGAACAGTAGGAGAGGATGCTGGTGTCCGTGAAACCACATTGGGCCTCACGCTGCCAGGCGCTCATCACCGCGGGACGCTGCCTTCAAGGCTGCCGCCGCTCGATGACGAAGGGGGCCTTTCGATGAGCGTCCCCAGCTCCTCCTTGCTTTGCGGGGGGGCCCTGCCTCCGGCCCCCCGCTCCACCTCCATCTCGGACACAGAGGGGGCACCGCTGCGGGCAGAGCTCCCTCCAGCAACCTCCGCCTTCTCCGCCGTCTCCTCCTCTTCTTCCTCCTCCACCTCTTCCTCCTGCTCCTCCTCCCCGTCGCTCTCCTCCCCAAGGATGTCATCCACCTGGCCATGCCACCACAATGCATCGCTGAGATGGGTAGCCCTCAAGGGAAGTGGCTCGGTTGGTCACAGCGGCGAAGGGTTACGATGCCCGTGCCACAACAGTGAGAGGCAGCTCCTGGTAGCCTTTGTGCCGTTAAGGTCGGCGTCTGGTGGCTAAACGGTCGAGCGAGCGGCTCACGAGCAAAAGGTTGAGAGTTCAAATCCACGGCTTGGGGCGTGAGGGGGGGCGTATGAGAGGTTGACTCACTTCCTTGTCCATGCTGTCCAGGTCGTCCTTGGACAGGGTGTAGAGCGGCAGGGCCTCCGACATGCTGGGCTGCCTCTGCCTCCGACTCCCCTCAGGAGCATCCCTCACTTGCTGCTGGCTCAGGCACCTGTGTGCAACGAGGCAGCGAGCAGAGGAACGGCTGGTAAAGAGTCTGCATGCGTCGGGGGACACCCAGAATTTGTTCGCCACTGAGCAAGTTTGCGTAGAGAACGACGGAGCAATTAAACTATTCTTTTATTTTACAAGGTAGGCTCACTGAGCCACAGAGCTCTTTTTCAGAAGCGACGTGACCACAATTAATCGGTCAACGGAACGGCTTATCGCGCGGACATTTATAGCGGCCAAATACTCTGAGAGCAAGTTGATTCTAAATGTGTTGGGGAAAAAACTGGAGGACCCGGAGAAACATCCACACGACCACGGGGAGAACATGGCAACTCCAAATACACCGGCGTCAGGGTTGGGATCGAACTCACGACCTCCTGTATGCTAGGCGAGATATGATAATTGGTTTTTTACCCTTCTATCTGGCAACAAAACTGACACCTTTTTACAAGGAGTCATGTTTGCATAGACCGCAATACCTGCAGTCATAATACAAACAAAAGAACATAACTCTGATAATATATGCACTGTCCTTGAAGTTGATTGGTCCACACCCGAGACAGCTTTCCTTAGAGCCTAGTCTCACATGGGTTGGACCAGATGACGCCAAAAGGCGCACAACTCAAAGACAATGCACCATCAGAGTATGAGAGCTCGGGGCAAGCATCTACACTATGGGAACCTCATTTGCCAGTAAAAATATGATAATTGGTTTTTTACCCTTCTATCTGGCAACAAAACTGACACCTTTTTACAAGGAGTCATGTTTGCATAGACCGCAATACCTGCAGTCATAATACAAACAAAAGAGCATAACTCTGATAATGGCAAATGAGGTTCCCATAGTCTAGGCGAGGTAGTTAACATCTCGCCACCGCGGCACCGGTTGAGCTGCCACATCGACCCGGTAATTTCTGCCGCGGCGTTACTACCAACGCGCGGGCCAGGCATCAAAAAGCACATCATCCACAACATCATCAGAATGATAATGGATTGTCAGCCGAGGAATGTAATGCGTCTGAGAAAACGTCCACCGAGGAGATGCAGACGCTGGGTGGCTTATCACGTCGCAGGATCGTGAGAGGCGGTGGCTTGGGGAGGCCTTCGTCCAGCACGGTTGATGATAATTGACCGTGGATGATAATGATAATTATCCTCATCATCCACAACAACACTAATTAGGGTTAATGGATCGTGGATCACTACGACGCCACTCTCATGTTTTGAACATGTCAATGCAGTGACGCAACTTGGAAACCATGACGGCGCTCCTGATTTTCTCACGAAGCTCAAAACCCACGACGGACAATCCGCGACGCTAACGTCTACATTCGTAACTACTCAGTCTTTTTGATACCCGAGCCTTTCTTTCATGACGCGGAAACCGGTTCAACACCCCGACTGGCGCCTTAGCGCTGGGCAGCAGCAGCATCAGCAGCACTCTCGTACCTGAAAGGCGAATGGTCGTCATGCCCCAGGCCCCCGGCAGGCGCCGGCGTTATACTGGGCACCTGCAGCTGTTGCTGTTGCTGCTTCTGCTGCAGCAGTTGCCGTTCCTGCCGCTCCTGCCGCTCCTTCCGCTGCTGCTGCTGCTGCTGCCCTTGCCAGCTGCTGGCTCCTGGCGCGCACGACTGGACGCTGCCCTTCCTCAGCAGGCGCCCCGTGACGGGGTCGTACACGCGCGCCTCGGGTGGCGCCGGCGCCGTGCTGCCCCGCGGGTGCATGGGGGTGGGATGCAGCAGAGCGTGGCGGGTGCCGTCACTGGCGCCCGCCTCCGTGTACGTCGCTGGGCTGCTGCTCCTGTCAGGAGGCCACCGCGGTGGGAGACGGTGAGGGGGGAGTGTTGTACGTATTATTATTTGTATTGTTATGTTGTTGAATCAGAAATATTGCATTTCACAATACGATGGTTTCGATTTAAAGCTTTCGTGACTGCAGGGATTCATCTTCTTGGTTCTTTCGGTGAAGTCACGTAGAAGGGAAATAATATAATAAAAATAAATATGAAACATAATAAAATAATATTTTATTATGGTTTATTTTTATTATTTTATTATTTCCCTTCTATTTTTATTATTTTATTATTTCCCTTCTACGTGACTTTACCGAAAGAACCAAGAAGATGAATACGAGGGTTATCAAGATATCGTGTTTTCATATTTCCAGTTTCTCGTAACTTTGTAATTGGACTTGACGTTTTCCGTCATGGTCTCGTGCTTTGATGTACCTCCGGTTTGAATAAGAATTACTGAGCAGTACCACAACTGCAATTCACTCGACATAAGCCTGCCACGAGACTTATACGCATTGTAAACTTACAATCCATACTGTGTTTAACGCACATGCTGCTGCCAGTTACACAACAAATAAATTACAAGCACGAATCACTAAATCTTGACTTAAAGCTTTCGTGACTGCAGGAATTAATATTCTTTGGGTATTTTGGTCAAGCCACGTAGATAGGTGAAAAAATATCGCTACTTCTTCACCCGATGACGATTGCTTGTGTTGCGATCGAAACGTCGTGATATTTTATTATTTTTCTATTTACGTGGCTTGAGAGGAATGAAATATAAAAAAAAAAATTCAATGAGCAATGCTAATCACAAGACTATATTTTGAAAAATTTTTACAGTTCCGCTGATCTTGAATTATACGAGATTTTGTAGTATCGCCATATCACGGCGAGCCTCTTCCCAACTGCTACGCGAGTGATTAGGGATGTATCAATTCCCGACATCCACAACTCGAGGAAACATTACAATTCAACAGGGTTCATGCTTCAACTCGCATATTATCATCTTTTTTTATTGCGGTGCGTGTATTACAACGCTTGTCTACCCTGGAAATCCTCATCAAGTTTTCAGAAAGGTCCCGATACATTTTCATAGTCAGGGGCTGACGATTGGGAAGTGTTTCACAATGAAATAATTAGCAAATAATTTTTTTTAATCTTGCAAATGTGAAACATGATGCAGCCACACATGACCTACTCTTCTTCGAATGACATCACAGAGTCTTGAATGTCTGCAATGAAGGAGATGTGTCCTATTATGGTTAATACACCAACAGTATTAACCAGGGCGGCCTGCTGATTCAACCCTTGAACCTCTGCAACTAGCAGAAAACGCAACACGTCACCACCCAAGAATCTATAGTTGCACTAATCTACAGGCCTTGTGGTCGCATGAACATTATGTACGGGACATTTTTGGAACACGAATGATTCAATGCATGGATCGTGGGGTTATGAACTTATTTTCATGAGCGAACCAGAAACATGATAGCATCTCCGTTCTGCTCAAGGCTGATTTGTGTTTAAATTCCAACTTGCTCATCTTAATCACAAGTGCGTGTGATGGCTCAGTGATGTGACCAAGGGCATCACAGTTTCCCGAGGCACTCAGTTCCTTCCACAGTGCCAAAACCTTACCGCTATCAATTCATTTATACGGCGACTAAAAAGCTAATTAATATGACTTTGCAATGGTCAAGAAACACGATTACCAGCTATGGTTACTGACCATTAAAACCACGGAAATATATTTTGAAGTCTGTTCAAACAACTCCCGATCACCGACTCTGCTTGCAGGAGGGCCAATGTACGAGCTCCATCCCTGCAGCATCTCCGATTAACACGGTTGGCTAAGTACGGCGCGAAAAAAGTTCAACGTACGTACATGCAAGACTCCACACCAGAGGTCGCAAACGGGTTTTGAGTCCTTACCCGTACCCGGCCGCACCAGGGTCGCAAATTGGTACCCGTACCCGGCCGGGTACGGGTAGCCGTTCCCTACCCGTACCCTACCCGAAATGAGTGACAAACGGCTACTCACCAGTGACTCACGGCCTACCCGTACCCGGCCGCACTAGGGTCGCAAACGGCTACCCGTACCCGTACCCGGCCGGGTACGGGTAGCCGGGTATCGGGTAGGGTACGGGTATTGGGTACCCGGTTGCGACCTCTGCTCCACACGCGTGTTGTGCAAGCAAAGGCTGGGGGGGGGGGGGTGGTACCTGTGCGTGCGCGTGTACCCCTCGGTGAGTGTGAAGAGGCACTCCTCGACGTGGTCCCAGCGATCGGCGCAGGCCCACAGCCAATCGGGCGTCACCACACGGACGCGCCGCGACTCGAGCGCTCGCCGCACCTTGTCCGTGCCTAAGCAACGCAGAGCCACATGTGTTTGTCCAACATCAATTTACGTTTTCATATACTTTCGGAGGTGGGAGGGAAGCCGGAGGTACAGCGGAAGAAAGCCGTGCAGAATAGGGGAAGAATATGCAGTAAGGCACCCGAGTCAGGAATCCAACCTAGGTTCTTGTTGTATGTATGATGAACTTCATTCGCACCGTACGTAGCCAACCGTGCTAATCGGACGTGCGGGTGAAGGACAACAAACTAAACACAAAAAGGAGTTCTAAAGAAATTCGTTTTCAATCTCGATGATTTAAAAGTGGATAGCTCCGGTGGCTTCCTAATACCGGAAGAGCGTTCCAGACGGCCGCAAGTGTTCACACTGCCGCATCACCCTGCCCACTGATGCCTTACTCCGCAAGTGTACATGCGTGTATGTTGAACTCCTTTCGCATCGTACGCGGCCAACCGTGCCGATCGGAGGCGCTAGTCGAAGGACCGCCCTGCGACAGCCGCTATCGCTCACACCCACCGGCCTTAGCAGCGACGAGATGCGTGGTGGCGCACTGAGCGCCGCTGGCATCCAGCACCAGGCTGGAACTGACGATGGCTCCCAGCGCAGAGGCCACCCGGTATTCGCGCGTGCGGTCCGCCGGGCAGTTCGTCGGAAACACTGCCGGAGAGACACCGCGCGCGGTATGAGCACCCACGGCACCCTTTGGCCGTCGTCGACCGATCCGGGAGCTGCTCTCGTTCGGTGCTCTACAAGAGCGTCGCGGTGGTGAGATGTTAACTACCTCGCCTGGTATGCAGTAGGTCGTGGGTTCGATCCCGACCCTGACGCCTGTTGCTGTATATTTGGAGTTTGCGTGTCTCTCTCTCATCATCATCACGGTGGCTAGGAGATGTGAACTACCTTGCCTGGTATGCAGGAGGTCGTGGGTTCGATCCCGACCCTGATGCCTGTTGAATATTTAGCGTTTGCGTGTTCTCTCTCTTCCCGTAGTTGTGTGGATTTTTCTCCGGGTCCTCCGGTTTTTCCCTCCACATTTAGAATCAACATCACACGTTGAGTATTTGGCTGCCCTACATTTCCACACCACAATAAGCCACTTCGTTGAGCAATTGTTTGTGGCCAGGCCGATTCTGAAAAAGAGCTGTATAGCTCAATGGGCCTTACCTGGCAAACAATATTTCGATATATATTAACAATCCATGACTGGGTAGTTAAGGCTGCGCCAAGCTGACACCACAGAGATCCTGCGTTTGGGGATTAAACCGGGCGCTCCAGTGCAGTGGTTCGCAACCGGTACACCGCGCTAAAGTCCAAGGTTTAGCCGTGGTTTTTTTCGAATTATGGAAAACGAAAAAAGAACATCACTGTTCACAAGCTAGGACAGACAAAGTCCCCTCCGTGCCGATCAGTGACCAGTCGAGGCTACCGTTACATCAGTGCATGAGAAACCAGCACAAATGTTAATCGTGTCACAATATTCTGGCCGTAAGGTCAAGAGTGCTTACCATTACACCGTGGCATGGACCAAATTGTCATCTGAAAGGCGATATATCTATGGGACCTATATATATATACTAGCTGTACTACCCGGCTTCGCCCGGGACTTGTATCCACCACGGCCGGCCGCCTTTGTCTCCCCAGTGGCGATGTTAATACGCCACACCAGTTACTCGTTTGAGGCTGAGTCGACGTAAGGGAGGTTCAAATAATCGTCACCGGTGGTGGCCGTGAGCGGGAATCGAACTCGGTTCGCCGGGTTTGTAGCGCAGCGTAGCGTTAAGCACTACACCCACGCTCCTCACACACCACACACGCACAGACACACACACAGACACACACACAGACACACGCAGACACACACAGACACACACAGACAGAGACACACACACACAGACACACACACAGACACACACACAGACACACGCAGACAGAGACACACACACACAGACACACAGACAGCACGCTAAGCACTACACTACCGCTCCCCACACATCCACACACGCACACACACAGACACACACACAGACACACACACAGACACAGACAGCACGCTAAGCACTACACTACCGTTCCCCCTACACAACACACGCGCGTCCATAGGTACACATACACGCGCTTGCTGCAGACACACACGACTTTGAGGGTGCTTACGGCAGTAAACGACTGAAATAATAAAGCGGCAATGGTGCGCGAGGAACGCCTTAGACCTGCAACACATTTGTGTAATGCGAGCGTAAACACACAAACACATACAAACACATACACACACATACATACACACACATACACACAAACACATACACACACATACATACACACAGACATACACATACACACACACATACACAATACACACACACATACATGCAGACACACAGACACATAATACACATACATACACACACATACATACACAGAAACACATACACACATACATAGACACACACATACATACACACAAACACATGCACACACGTACATACACACATACATACAGACACGCAGACATACACATAAAGACATACAAAAAAACCCACATACATACACACACATACACACAAACACATAAACACACATACATACACACATACATACAGACACACAGACATACACATAAACACATACACACATACACATGACCCGGCTTCGCGGGGGACTTGGATCAACGATGCCCGGCCGCCTTTGTCTCCCCAGTGACGATGTTCACACACGACAGCAGTTACGCGTTTGAGGCTGAGTCGACCTAGGGGAGGCCCAGGTCCGTTTGAAATAATCGTGAGCGGTGGTGGGCGTGAGTTGGAATCGAACTGGGGTCGCTCAACCAGCTTAATGACTATTTGTACAAAGAACATATAAAGAATCGATTATAATAAGCAGGCTACAGTCCACATTATAGACTGCCAGTACACGCAGTCAGCTTCATAAGCAGGCTAGAGTGTACATGATAGAGTGGCAGTACTGCTCAGCGAGCTTAATAAACAGGCTACAGTCTACATGATAGACTGGCAGTACGCTGACCCAGCTTAATGACTATTTGTACAGTGAACATTTAAATAATCGATTGTTGGCGCGTTGGGTTTAAAAGTAATATTAATTGCACACATTGTGGTGGGGGTGGAGTGAAGAGGACGATAAACTTTGATGAATTTACCTCAGAGTGGCGTGGTGGGTGTCGAGGCCTAGTAGCGTGCAGAGCCTGCGGCCTCGCCAAAATTGTGCAGCCGGCAGAGGCAGGGTACAGGTGGCGTGCCTTCCCCCCCCCCCCCCTCAGCGCTCCAACAATACTGTGTAATAGCTATTATTTAATTATTTACGGAGCCTATGAAAGTGGCGAAGGCGTGGCTAGCCGTTGGCAGGGGCAACCGCCGTCCAATGAAACTGCAGCCCTTGGCGAAGGCGTCGCTAGCCGTTGCCAGGTCCAATGAAAGCGGCGAAGGCGTCGCTAGCCGTTGCCAGGGGCAACCGCCGTCCAATGAAAGTGCGTATGGTCCGAAATCCACACACACACACACAGACGGACAGACAGACATGCACGATTTTATATATATAGATTTTAGATGAAAGAATGAAACCTCCACTGAAGACGACGACGACCCCACGCAGCACGGAGCGGCGTAGCTCCGGCACGACGGAGCGCAAATCCGGCTCGACCACCGCCCCCGCCGGTTCGCTCTCTCCCTGCCGCCCCCCCCCCTGCTGCTGCTGCTGCCAGCGGTCCTGCTGCACGTAGAACATCGCGTGCACGCGCGACAGCACCTCCTCCAGGTGCAGCAGGTAGTCGTCCTCCTCCTTATCGTCCACCTCAGCGGCGGCGGCGTCCACCACCACCACCGCCGCGCCCTGCCAGCGAAAGGTCGCCAAGTTTATTTCGTTTCTTCCCCTACGGCAGTGCTCTTCACTGCAAGGCCCGCGGGGCGGCTGGCGGCCCCTGGTGGCTTTTAGTGCGACCCCTGACGTGAGGAACCACCCCCCCCCACCCCCCGGCAATGTGAAAACACCCCCTATCATCGTCATAGTTTCAAATGCGTAGCGGTCGTCACACCTGGTGACGTCTCATCGGCGAAAGTGCCCCAGCCCCTCTGGAAAATTAGTGAAGAACACTGCCCTATGGATTTTGGGGAGGCTTCCCACGTTGTGTAGCGCAAGGGCGCTTTTTATCAACCGCATTAAAAACAACCGAACCCCGTTGTTTAAAGTGCGATGCAAGGAGATAGAAACAAACCAGCGACCTATGGATCGCAAGTCCAGGGCACTGATCATAACAACACGGCAGCTCCCTTTGTATTTCCAATAAAAAAAGGTTAAAATGTTGCGTTCCTTACGAGACAAACCGTTAACCGATATCCGACCAGATTTGTTTCTACGTAAAATTTACCAGTCGTGCAATAAAATATTTTAAACAACCCTAATCCAAACACAGCATTATATGGCTCAGTACTCAATGAGATATGAGCCTCACGAAGCCACCCCATAGTAGTAGGCGCCGCGCTACTTTGATGCTACGTCACCTCCGTACCTCGTGGGCCTTCCCCTCCTCCTCCTCAACGTCGAATTCAGGCTCAAAGGACTCCCCCTCGGTGATGCCCGACTGCTCCGTGTTCTGCGACGCGATGTCCACGGTGTCGTGTCGCGTCTCGACGCCGCCACCGGCACCACCGCCGCCACCGCCGCCACCGTTCTCACCCACCACCTCGGGCTCGCACGCCAGAACACAAGGCCCCGCGGCTTCGCCCAGGCGCTCCTCCCTGCCCCCCGCCTCCTCCTCCTTGGTGGCGTCACGCCCGCTCCGGACGCCGCCGCACAGCGGTGCCGCCATCTCCGCGTCCAAGCGCACAGCGTCCGCCTTCGCGTCCGCCTTCACATCCGCCTTCACGTCGGCCTTCAATGTCCTCACATCGTCGTCGCCTCCGCCGGACGTCGGGGGAGCCACCGCCTCGCCCTCTTCCTTCAGCGCGGCGGAGGGCGACGATGGAGAGTCGCTGTCGCTCGACAAATCAAAGTCCAGGTCGGCCTGCGCGCCGCTGCCCGCGTCGCCCCGTTTCTCGTTGTTCTGCTTGGGCTCGGCTCCCACGTCCGCCACGTCCGCGCCCGCTCTCGATTCCTCCTCCTTCAACGAAGCTGCCGCGGTGCCGTCGTCCGTCACCGTCGATACGGCCGTCACCGGTTCCTTGGCGCCGTCCCTGAACGTGGCGTCCTTCGCACTGCCGCACCGGCCCGTGCCGTTGTTGGTCGGAGCAGCCGGGGCCTTGTCCGCCGCGGGTTTGAGCCGCGAGTCCACCGCCGCCACCGCCGTCGCTTTTCCCGAACCGTCGGTTTCGGCGGCCGGGGGGCATTTGGCGACCCGCTCCGGGGCGCGTTCCGCAGGGCCGCGCGAGGAAACCGCGTTAGGCGACTCTGCCGATGCCTGAGAAGAACTCTCCGGGGTAACCTTGGCAACGTTATTTCCTGGAGAATTGAAAACAAATTTGCACGTAAACAAAGAGTTGACTTTTGAACTATGTTGTTTTGGCGAGTGTGATCGCTGAGTGTTGTGGTGGTGTTAGAACCATGTAGGGCTGCTTGTTGTCTACTCAGTATCGCAATGCAAAAATACTAAGTATGGTGGCTGCAGAAATTGTGCTACTTACTACCAAGCACCTGGGTAGTAAGCACATTGTGTAAATGCAACTGTGTACAAGAACCACAGATAGATGGATTCCTGTAGCGCTACTACTACACTTAATTGAATAACGGTGCTATTGCACATGTAGAAATCCTAGTGACAAGAACAAATAAAATCCATATTTTACGAATATCCTAAAATGACGCTACAAGCCTCCCCCCCTCATGTGCCCACACCACATCTGCGTGCTTCACAAACCCCAGTCCATGCTCCATCACAGTCAAGCTTTCCATGTTCACCAGCCTCCGTTTAAATGCAAATCAAGTATGGATGTATGTGTGTTGAACGTCTTTCGCACCGTACCAAGCCAACCGTGCTAATCGGACGTGCGGGGGAAGGACAACAAACTAAACACAAAAAGCAAGTCAAAACAAAAGAGTTTGTCAATTTAGATTACTTAAAAGTGCACAGCTCCAGTGGCTTCCTAATATCAGAAGGAAGAGAGCGTTCCAGACGGCCGCAGAAGCGCATCTGAAAGCGCGCGATGCGGTGACCGCCATCTTTATTCAACGGCCAGCCAAAAGCCGCTGCTGCGAGGATGACCGGATTTCGCGTGATGATGTTTTATTCTCCTTGACGAGATCAGCAAGATAATTTGGTTCATTTGTGGCAAGTCTCGGACAAATTGCACGCATCCCACTCATGATAAATATGGCAAAGCCTACATTGCAGGAGGGGTAATGGAGTTCAGCGTTCGGGAATCCGTGCGTTATCCTGAAACCTGAAATGTGCGTGACTGCCATGTGACTAATCCGAATCAGAGACCAGCAGCAGGGCATGTGAGAAAGTTGATGCCACTCAGTGTGGATAAGATGCAACTGAGAGTACAAAAAAAAAGAGTTGGTTCTGTGTTGTCATCTCCTAAGCGAGTGGTTCTTAACCTTTCTGGACCAGCTGGCCACAAAAACGCAAAAACCAACCATACACTCAAAACAAATTTTGTGGGCTTTTTCAAACAAACAAAACAAAATCGATTGGATCTGCAACAATGTGGGTCCACGCTCCTGCGGCGTAACGCTGCGCATGCGTGCAGGAAGGGACGTACCCCTGCGCTGAGCCTCGCGCGAGCCAGGCGGGGCGTTGATGTCGCCGGTGCCCTGGAAGTAAACGTACTTCCGCACGGCAATCAGATTGGGTGCCGACCTCCACACATCTTCGCGGTCATCGATGATGCACACCATCGAGTCACCGCACGGAAAAAGGTTTCTGCGCAAGGAAAAAAATAAATGAAAAAATACACATTCACCGACGGTGCATGCTCGCGTGCAGCAAGCAAAGGTGCGCATTCATGTCACCGTGGAAATTACTTTCATGAATTTTCCGACAGGATCACTCACTTGAGGTTGCCGGTTTTGCAGTAGGGATCTATGCACTCGTCTCGGGAAAGGATTCTGTGCGAAAAAAGCTTCTTCTCCGGATCCAAAAACCCTGCGGTCACGAGCAACAAATGCATTCTTTCATCCTCCCGTTGGAAGGAAGCATGAAGTGTAACACGATGGAGAGGGATATTTGTTTTCGTGATATGTTTGACGTACGTAACCGCACCTTTTGCGTAATTATTTGTGGTTAAAGTGGGACCATCAAATTGAAAATGAAACGCTTTAAAATATATTTCAAAGTCACATTTTACACCAACTAGGCGTGGTGTGCACTCTGTCTGGCTGCTCCTTTTCGGCAAATCATGGTACAGGTTGATAGTTGTTTTTTTACCCTTTTATCTGGCAACAAAACTGACACCTATTTTCAAGCAGTCATGTTTGCATTGACCACAATACCTGCGGTCGGAATGCAAACAAAAAACACAACTCTGATAATGTATGCACTGTCCTTGAAATTGATTGGTCCACACCCGAGACAGCTTTTCTTAGAGCCTAGTCTCACATGGTGTTGGACCAGATGACGCCAAAAGGCTCTAAGAAAAGCTGTCTCGGGTGTGGACCAATCAATTCAAGGACAGTGCATACATTATCGGAATGTTTGCATTCCGACTGTAGGTATTGTGGTCAATGCAAACATGACTCCTTGTAAAAAAGATGTCAGTTTTGTTGCCAGATAAAAGGGTAAAAAAAATTTCAATCATATTTTGCTACTGGCAAAGGAGGTTCCAATGATGGTACAGGTTTTCACTGCACGTAACAGCAAAAGGGTCTGATATCTGCCGTAGGCAGACCAAATATTTTAACTAAAATATTTGCGATTCAAAATGTGATTTTTGGGTTAGGCCACGTAATAATCTAGCCAAATGTATATATTATTACTGTGGTGAGTTGCAGTTGTAATGTTGAAGTCGTTGGTTGGTGTCGTAGCTGTGATTGTAAAAGTTGCTGTTGTGGTGCAATGCGATTGTAGCGTATGTTTGTATGTTGAACTTCTTTCGCACCGGACGCAACCAACACCTGTGCTAATCGAAGGTGCAGGGGGAAGGAAAGTTTTCACGTCAAAAATAAATGATGAATCGAAAAATATTGGCTGTGAAAACCCCCGCCTGTTAAAGTTAGCCAAACATTCAGTCCGGTCGATTTTACGGATTTAAAAAAAGTTCGGCCCTGACAACGACACGCGTGGCCGGGCGGACCCACCAGCGATGGTGTGTGCGTAGAGGCGGCTGCCAAAGGTGAAGACGTGTAGCTCGTAGAGCTCGGCGATCTTCTGCAGGAAGGAGCGGCAGTGGGGCCGCAGTCGCGTGTGCAGCATCGGCTGACCCTGGCCAAGCTGGAAGTGGAAGATTCCCTAAAGGACGTCGGAGCAATGGAGGTCATTGATGTAAGCATTAGCGACTTCCTGCTAAAATCAGCATTGAGGCGTGTGTGAGTGCGTTGAACTTCTTTTGCGCCGTACGTAGCCAACCGTGCTAATCGGAGGTGCGGGGGAGGGGGGGGAAGGACAACTAAGCACAAAAAGCAGTTCTTAAGAAACGAGCTGTCAATCTCGAAGGCAGTTCTCATCTCCTACTGCGAGCAAGAGACCAGATAAAACACCTACAATAACACCTCTTCATAAGTCACATGAAAGAAGAAGCCACGAGCGAGCAGTGGACATTCCACGTTCCTTTGTCAGGGGTGTGTCTATCCACAGGACATAACGACTGTTGACTTGTCAGCAAAGCAGTACCCAGAGAGACGATGGGCCGAGTCAACCCCCAACCAGGATTGAACTCGCAACCTTCCGATTGCGAGCTGCTCACTCTCCGGCTGAGCCACCTGACTGGAACTTTAACACATTCCTGCGGAGGGAGCTGGTAGGAACGTTAGGTTGCTCGGTCAATGGCCAGGGTCAACGGCGGCGTGGTGTATTCCGCAAATATGCCCGACTGTGAGGGCGGGCACAAGCCGGCGTGAGTAGGTTAAACGTTGAGTTTTATAAGGGCACCACGGGGTGACCAGCCGCTCCCCACCCAGCCCCTCCTACCCCCCACCCAGACCCTGTGGAGGGTAAACCCACAACATTTCCAATTCGAGTACGGCGTTTCTCTGGTGATTACAACCAGCTTCATTAGGCAATAGCTTTGCCGACGGCGTTTCGCTGGTGATGACAACCAGCTTTGTTAGGCAATAGCTTGCTGACAATTTGGCAACGCTGGTCGGGGGAGCTTCGTCCGCTCTTGCAACCCAAGCACGCTGCGAGCGGCTCTTGCAACCAACCACGGCGGTCCCACCTTGCTGCTCATGTGCGGGTAGCTCTGCTCCGTCGTGTGGATGAGCGTCTGGTCCAAATCTACCATGAGCACCAGCTTGCGGCTCCGCAACAGCCGCTGCTGATCCTCACGTCCCAGGCTCTCGGCTTGCTGCGACGGAAAGCGCGCGCGCGCGCGCACACACGCACGCGACACAAACGACACGAGCGCGAGAGCAATGAACAGACCTGCGTGTCGATGCGTTCACTACTGGGACGGTTAGCAAGAGCGCGCGCGAGAGGGCAGAAGCCACGTAGAATTAAGTCGTCGCCTGCTGTATAGCAAAAGCTAACGTGTCCCAGCGTGACAGCCCAACTATATTTACGGGGCATTTTTTTTGCCAGTATCAAAAGTATGAAAAAATAACAATAGGTTTTACCCTTTCTGGCAATAAAACAGGTGAGGAGATGTTCAAACACAAAATAGATACCTTCTGCAAGGAATAAAGTCTGCATTAACCACACGTACTTGTGGTGAATACGCAAACAAACGAAGTCGCGTATTTTTACGTGCATCTTTCGCCAATTGTATACCGATTGCACCATTGGCGTCGTAGCATACACAACACAAAGAATCTATTACATTTTCTACCTTACAAGTGAATAGGGTAGTTACCATTTTTTCTAACTTTTGTAAGTGAACATTTTGAACACAACACATATAACGACCGAGGGGGTCCTCATCACTGCAGAGAATAATGAGCATCACGCGCCACAATATACCAGCGCGCACGGGCACAAGGGCACTATACATATTGCACATATGTATGCCAGTGCAACCGGACCTTACCTCGGATGTGACCATGAGCTCGGGCACGCTGTGAACCATAGAGATGTTGGCTGCGGAACTCGAAACCTGCGTCTGTCCGCCTGCCTTCGCCAACCTGGGGGGGGCAAGGTCAGTGGATAGGATCACCAAAATCCACGCACACTTAAATAATAACATTCGTTAAATTGTTATATTTAAATGGCACGCAGTCACGCGAGTGGAAGACGGATGAAAACTATTTTGTTGATAATTGGTTTTTTACCCTTTTATCTGGCAACAAAACTGACACCTTTTTTACAAGGAGTCATGTTTGCATAGACCACAATACCTGCAGTCATAATGCAAACAAAAAACACAACTCTGATAATGTATTCACTGTCCTTGAAGTTTATTGGTCCACACCCGAGACAGCTTTTCTTAGAGCCTCGTCTCACATGGTGTTGGACCAGATGATGCCAAAAGGCGCACCAATTATCATATTTTTTCTTCTGGCAAATGAGGTTCCAATGGTGTAAACTATTTTGTTACATGAAAACGAGATAACATGTCGATTTGATTTTACCCTGCAGGCTTAAAACACATATTTAGAATTATCCTCTGACAAAAATGAACATAAATGCACCCGATCTCGTCAGATGTCAAAAGACTGAGCCTGGTAGGTACTTGAATGAGTAACCACGGACACTTTGCAGGTGTTGTAGGTGTAAAGCCAAGCGGCGGGAAAGAGGTGGCAGCATTGAGTGTGACCCACTTAGATGCGTGAGGTTTTTCTCTGGGTGCTGTCGCATGTCAAACACTCATTACTGGTATTGGCCAAACACTCCAATGCGGGACACTCCTGATAAAGAGTCTTTAGACTCCTTGAAAATAATCAGCGATATTATTTGTAATAAAATTCAAAGGAACACCTTATCCATGATCATATAATTCCGTTTTCTTGGAAGTTGTAAATATTTGTAAAATTCCAGATTATTTCCTGCTGCAATGAGCGTTGAGGCAAGGGCGCTTCACCTCCCGTGTGTAGCCCTGAACCATTGTTGGAAATACCTCATTTCTAATTGCAGGGCCCAGTCTCTTCATAGAACAAAGACAAAGATCCCCCACATAGCCTTTAACAGACTGTTGGGGCAAGTGCTGTTAGTGAGCACCCATGATGGCCAGCACAGCACACGAGGAGGTGGGTGGCCAACACTACGCCCGGCCGCCTTTGTCTCCCTGGTGCCGTTGTTCACACATGTTTACACATTGCACCAGGTACTCATTTGAGGCTGAGTCGACCTAGGGGAGGCCCAGGACCGGTTCAGATAATGGTCACTGGTGTTGGCCGTGAGCAGAATTCGTAGCGCAGCGTGCTAACCGCTACACTACCGCTCCCCACGACACACACAGACACTCACCTCCTGAGGTCCTGTCCACACTCGGCACAGAGTCCCTTCATCACAATGGGATGGCGACAAGCCTCCAGCCGCAGCAGCTCTCCTCTGTTCCACCCACGGAAACATGCAAACCACACAACAGCAGCACAGAGAAGCAGTGGCGAGAAATGTTGTCTCCCTCGCCAGATACGCAGAAGATCGCGGGTTTGACCCCGACCCTGACGACCCCTGTTGTGTATTCGTAGTTTTGCGTGTTCTCTCTCCCCGTGGTTGTGTGTATTTTTTTTCTCCGGATCCTCCGGTTTGCACCCTCCACATTTACAAGCACGCGATTATATTATTTGGCTGCGAATCTAAATTCACACACGTGACGATATAAGGCAGCGCAATGAGCTATCGTGTGGCCAGGTCGCCTCTGATAAATAGCTAATAGCTCAGTGGGCTTTACCGAATGAATGAAATAGAAGTAATGGTAGTATTAGAGGTTTTCTGCGTAAATGTTGTGGGTTTACTCTCCAACACACTGGTGCGCTGAACGAGAAATCAATTGACATATTTTGTTTACGTGACAAAACGAATTGGCTGTGTCGCGTGGTGGCGGGTTTAGCGACACATTTATATTTACGCGATCTAACCCAAAAAAAACTCTATTGTGGATAATATTGGTTGCGAAAGCCAACTACGTGTTAAACAGTAATGGTAGTAGTTTAGAACTCTTCAGCAATCGGGCCGGCCCAGTGGTTAGTCGACAGACGCTCGATGTTTTGAGGTCTGCGTTCGCGCAGTAGTTAAGCGAGCATTCGACAGCGTCACACATTGCGCAATGGTTTTGTATCGAAGGAAGTTTTTTTTTTAAATGTACCGTTAATAAGAAGCACATTTCATGTTATTTATATAAATGTAACCACATCCCTAAGCCGTAATCTTAACCACGCTCACCTTAACGCTTACACTCTCCAAAGCTGAAGCTCGCAATGATTGTTAAACATTCCTCATTTGGTGTAAATAAAACATATCGAAAATGCATAACTTTGCAACGCCACAAATACATTCACACTTTGCACACATTTAAATGTTTCACAGCATCACTGCAATGGGTTTTCTCCACGGTGGTTTGTCAATAAATGTGAATGTATAGTAGAGCTGGAATCCTGATGGGTTATTTTTAAAAGGGTGCGATTTTAATGTGGTGCATAATCAATAAGTAGTGCATTAACCGAATGTTTCATCCCATCCATAACATTTGAAACAACCACACTTGCAGGTTAAAACACTTAAATTCCTGTTCATTTCGTGTCACTGCTCAGCTTTGAAATTCTCCCAGAATCTCTATCCACGAATGATGATCACCCTTGCTCAATTCAAAACGTGTTCATAAATTATCACTATCTGGAAAAAATCAGCCAGGTGGCTCAGCGGTAGCGAGTTAAAATCCTTGCTTCAGGAGTTTACTCAGCCCATCATCCATAAGGGGTCGATAAAACAAGTACTACTTTGTGGGGAAGTCAACAGTGGTTGTCCTATCAAATTGATTTGCCCTTGCCACAGGGATGTGGACTTTCTACCACTTGTGCAGGGCTGTAATCAGGAGATAAGCACAACCTCAATACTCATTTGAAAAGGAAATCGCTATTTCTGTATATGAAAGTTAATTCTACGCTTAAAATCTCAAAATGTCATGAACCATCTTCACAGATTAGCCACTTGAGCTGTTATAATGCATCAGTCACGGAGCTGTTTTTTTTTCAAACTTCACAAGGCAACGTGACGCTTTCTATCACCCGTTTCACATAAATCTAGAGTTGTCAACACCTTGGAATATAACTGTATTGCGCTGCAGGCGTCTTGACATGACTATAATAACTGCTATTCTGGAACCCACAACAACAGTGATATGATGTCAAAAGTGTTGGTGAGTTCACAACTCACATCACAGCCTATGTATAATATCATTCAAGGGTACAAACACATTTGACTTAATTCAGCTGCTGCAGATCAGTGACTGGGATGTGTGTGCATTCTGAAAATCAAGCCCTGCAGCACTGGAAAGAATTGATTCAAGGACGCAACACCAAAACTATGAGCTCTTCCTGACACACAATACTTTCTCTATGACGTATACGAATTCGTTTGAAACTTGTGTCAATGCAAACAAAGAACTTCAAAGGAAGTGAGGCGTACCATCAAAAGCAAGTTATTACTCAGACGATGCATTAAAATGTGTGCGAGTGAAATTAAGTGCTACAATGACACATTTCACCATTAACTCAAACCCTTTTTATCTTCTTCTCCTCACTAAAGAAAGTTTTCCAACTCCTGTCAGACAGCTCTCAGGAGACAGCTTAAGGAACACATCTACAAAGCACTATTTTTTTGAGTTGTGCCATCAGCCTTCAAGTTATTCAACGACAGACAACCAATAAATGTTGCATTTACTATTCAGGTCAAAAGATTGGAATGTATTATATTCGTTTGGTCCTTGTGCAAAATCAGGGCGCTGCTAAATTTCCTTTCCTATTGCAACCTGGTGACTAATTCATGGACTGCTCAGCTCCTCCAGCACAGCTGACACTGCTGAAGTCGTCATCATCGTTATGCTGCTTCCACATTCGTACACTGTTCTTACCTCCCTTCTCTTTTACCAGATTCACACACTGAAGCTAAATAAGTTACTCCGTCTCTCCCCTCAGTCCCTTGTTTACATCATTCTGCGAAGGAAACGATTTGCTCCATATGGGTTTGTCCCACCATGATCCAAGAGCTAAACCTGATCATTACGTAACCACTTTCACCCGTAATGCAACCCCTCACTGCGAGCATTAATCTTTGACCTTGTGATAACTGCTTTCGATCACAGTGAGCTGAAGCTGCACTTACATCCACCAATCTATACGAGCTTGCTACCATTGGCACTCAGGCCCTGTGGAAGCCAAATTTGTTCGGGTCTGAGTTGAATGCTAGTTATTAGGTTTTAAGAATTGACATTTTTTCTACAGCAATCAACCGTGGATAATTTTTTTTCACACTCTCACTCAGTTTCACAACGCTGAATGTGAGTCGTAGAACGATGCCCGAATTCATCAATCAACATCAACGATTGCACTTATGGTACTTGCGCATCAAAATGCTCATGAAAGAAGCAACGTTTTGCAATTCATTCATATGGTTATATAAAGTGTTCATTGCACCCTTGTAACCACCGGATGCAAGGATGTAAACAAAACAAAAATGTATTAATTGGCATGTTTACATGACAGACCTTACTAAGTGGCTGTGTCAGGTGGTGGCGGGTTTAACGACACATTTATATTTATGCGTTATAACCCAAAAAAAAACAATATTATGGGTAATAAAATCTTGAATCGAAGTGAGACTCTGAAACACGACCATTCATCAATTTGCCGGGCATGGAGGAAAGCTGCATTATTCCAAGGTGTTCATTTGTTCCTCTGTATCCATTGCCCATTAAGAGGAACTTCCATGAAGCAGGCTACTTTATTGAAAATGGATAGGACAATCACCAATTAAATTGGTTAACCGTAAGTCACATTTTTACAGTTTTCCAAAACAAAATGTGCCAGTCTGTGGAGGTTTTCTTGTGGATGGTATTTTATGTACATCAGGCCATAACATTACTCTATTATCGAAGAATACTGGAAGTTTTTAAAAGGTGCATTTAAAATACATTAATAAAGGGCTCACAATAATATCGACTCATTGTTGTTAAACAAAGTATCATAAACATTGCTAACATGTTTTTTCCAAAACATAAAAATCAGTTATATATAATTGTATATCTATATAATTCATAACATACACAACAGCTCTGTTATAAAACTATGAATGAGCAAGACAATAGATCCCTACATTTAATTGCATTTAATTGTACTATGATCAATTTAGCAATTGACGTTGAGAAAAATGCCTCTTACAAAAATATACAAAAACCAGCTATTGGAGGAAACTTCCTCCTGTCATCCGAGCCGTTTATGCAGATAAGGAACTGGACGTTGCCTCCCGAAAGCACTCAATCCTATTATCCGTGCCGTCATAAGGAAGAGAGGAGAAACCCAGAAGTGGCAGAAAATTCATCCTGTCATCCACGAGTTTATTCATGCTTTACCGTTTGGATAAAACAAGTCATTTGCAGGAATAGCACGATCCGTGTACTTTCAGATTTTTTTCCAAATACTTTGTCAGATCTCATGTTTCCAATCTATGTCATGACAGCGAGTATGCACTGATTGAAAACGTTATTCTTTAGGCACATGCATCATGGGTATCCCTTGTTAAATAGCCAGGTAACTGGCTAAAACAGTCATCTGTGTAACATATCAAAAAACTCAAACTCACTGGTATGTGGCTTCTATTACTAATTTTTTTTTTTACCACTGGATCCTGCACTTTCTTGCATCTTTATTTAATCTATTCAACAGTGTTGAAGTGTAACTTGCATCGCATACGCTTGAGATCACTTTCTGTCTTGAATTTTCCGAGGACAGGGAAATCTCATAAAATCTGCAATTTGTCCTAGAGAATCAAGTAAGTTGAACACGTAGACTTTCGCGACTAATATCATCCACAATACAGATTTTTATTTGGGTTAGATCGCGTAAATATGAATGTGTCGTTAAATCCACCACCAGCCGACACAGCCAATTAGTAAGGTTTGTCACATAAACAAAACATGCCAATTTATTACTGGTACAGCACACCGCTGTGTTGGAGAGCAAATCTACAACATTTACAATCCGAGTACGACGTTTCGCCAATAATTACAACTAGCATCATCAGGCAGATTTGATGATGCTAGTTGTAATTATATTTACGCGATCTAACCTAAAAGAAACCTGTATTATGGAGAATCAAGTCAGTAAAACATTTTATGTCCCCATTTGAACCCTCCAGGTACATATTCCCAGACTACTTTCATATGTGACCAGTATCTCAATGTCTGAAGTTCTCATTTCATCCACACCTCACTTATTACAACTGTCCCAATTCATATATCTTGCTTTTGACTCGAATTCAGCAATATTTGATTATCGTGCATTGCATGTGACAGTGGTCAAATCCAAACGTTATGCTATTAATATCCTCTCCTTCTTCACCTTCGCTGCCAATACCATGACTGGTGGAACCAGATCTGCTGAGGAATGGGAGTCGTGGTTAAATGTGCAACAGACTTTTTACCGTACTTTGCCATGCTGGTCAGTGCAGGTTGGCACTGACAAGTGAATGTACCAGTCATGCGAGGTGAAATCTACTCGCAGTTCCAAACAATAACAATACAATCGCAACCATCACCACCACTGGTGTTTAGTTTGTGGGCCTTCCCCCCGCACATCCGATTCGCACGGTTGTCTACGTACGGTGCAAAAGAAGTTCAACATACAACGCTACAATTACAACGCACCACAACACCAACTTCTACAATCACAGCAACCAACAGCATGATAACTGCAACTCACCACAGGAATAACAAACAGCAATGCACCGGTCAATTTATTTTCTTTCTACGTGACTTTACCGAAAGAACCAACGAGTAATTCCTGCAGCCACGAAAGCTTCGAATCTAGTTTCAACAAACAGCAACTTTTCACCACTGGCCACCGCGCATGCTACAACTATCCAAACAACTAAACGCCACAACACCTGCACGCTTCATCACAGCAACAATCGCCACAACATCAACCAAAAGTTGCATCGTGTAGTGCAGTTTATTGCAATGCAGTCAATTTTGTTGCATCGCTGTACACACAGTCTTGCATTATATTATAGTGTCACAGAGTCGAGTGATTTTAATTACGGTATGTTAGTGCAGTACATTCGAGTGCATTGTACGAAAGTGTATTATAGTCTACACTCAAAAGAGCTGTCACACCAGACGAGGCAGACAGAAAACAGACAGACAGACCCAGTCGCATGCAACCCATCACAACTTCTCACGTCAACAAAAACTCACTAAAACCTGCACCACCACCACCACACATAACAAAACACTCTTAACAACCCCCTAAACAGCATGATAACATCAACCCAGGCGGCGGCGGCAGCGGCATGCTCACCCCGAGGCCACTATTTGTCCGGGCGCGCAGCAGAGGCGCACGACGACGCCAGCGCTGCTCGCCTTCAGCTTCACCTCGCGGGCAGAGCGCCCAGGCGAGACCGTGGTCGCGGCCTGCTCATCCTTCGCCTCGTCCGCCTCGGGCGCCACCGTCGCCGCGTCTTCCTCGTCCCTGCCGCCACCACCGCCGCTGTCCTCCACCGCCGCCACATGCGCCACCACCGAACCCATGCGTACGGCCGAGCCGGGAGCCACTTTCCACTCCAAGAGGCGCACAGCACGAAGCGTACCGGGCACTCGAACAACGCCGGCCTCTGCCATTGCTGAGTGTGAATCGACAGCTTTCGATTCGAGACCGCGGCGCAATTCAATCCGGAATCGATTCGTGTCCCGTGAATTGGGTTGAAGGGGGAAATGGATCGATTCGCCGTGTGAGAGGGTTGTTGATGGGAATCGGAATCGACTTCGTTTGCTGGGAGGATCTTGTTTATGAAGTGAAATATGGCGGGATTTTGGTCGGTGCCTCATAGGGTTCTTATATTTAAGACGTAATAATAATGCTGTTGTTGTGAGGGTTATTTTTTTGTTAGTGATGTTGACCCCCAGTGATTGGATGGGCCGCGGAGAAACTCTCACGCATTTTTAACGGCGGTGGGACAATTTCTCGTGTATTTCACGAGCGCGTCACTATCTTTATACATGATTTGTATTTAGTAATAGTTTCCCGCGAATGTAAAGATGTTACCTGTCACCAGCGAACTCACAACCGCTCTGATGAAAAATAAGAAATGGTTTTACCCGTTCTGGAAATAAAACGTGAGGTGTTAAAGATGTTCAAACACCAAAATAGATAACCTTTTGCAAGGTATCAAGTCTGCAAACAACCACACTCATGTAACAAAATATGAAAACAAACATGCTCTGATGATATCCATTGTCTTTGAAACTGGTTGGCCTACACCAGAGACAACCTTCTTCATGGCCTCGTCTCACCAGTGTCAGACCAGAGACAAAGGCTGACAACACAAAAACAATGCACGTATCGGAACACTTACAGCTCAGGTTGAGAAGTTATATCTATGGGATAGTAGCAAAAAGGAAACACCGCTCTCTCATTCCCCTCAGGCTGGTCTCCCTCCTACCACTGGTGAATCTCACTCCTACCACTGGTCAATCTCACTCCTACCACTGGCTAATCTCACACCACTGGTCAATCTCACACCTACCACTGGCTAATCTCACTCCTACCACTGGTCAATCTCACTCCTGCCACTGGTCAATCTCACACCTACCACTGGCTAATCTCACACCACTGGTCAATCTCACTCCTACCACTGGTCAATCTCACTCCTACCACTGGTCAATCTCACTCCTACCACTGACTAATTTCACGCCTACCACTGCAGACCACGGGTTGAAAAACCACTGCTCTGGATTGAGGTACCTTAAATCATCCAGTTCACAAAAGGTTTTTAAACGTGACAGATTTTGCCAATATACAGGAATACAAAAGGCAGTGGCTTCCTGCTCAAAGCCAGACGTATACATTCCACATTAATATGGCGGGAGCAAGCCATTGCAAAGAAGGATGTTTTACCTCTGCACAGCGTTTTGCTATTTCCAGCTGGGGCCCACGGCACACATTCCTCCCCTCAAGGTTCTGCAGTCCTTCATATATTAAGGTATTACCGGCCAACTAATGAGTGCTTGCATGTGTAGTGTCAACGACTCAGAGACAGAATTTATAGGAGGCAACTTCTTTATGAACAACTTCCACGGTCTCCTCCACACACTCCGCACAGTAGCTTAGCCTAGCCTGTACACAACACCAGCCGTCTAACGCTGACGGCGCTGACTGACATAGCAAACTGCTTTCCTTCGTAGCGCAATATCTAGCGGAGACGTTTAGCGACGAAGATGACGACGAGACGAACCCACTCTCAGTGCCGACAGCCTCGAGCCCCCCCGCTCTCAACTCCTTTTATGCTCCCAGCGCGGCTTGGCTCCGCCCTGACCGCACCTCCCTTCTCGAACCCGCTAGCAGGTTCCAGCGGCCTCCAGATGGGGTACTCCGTGACCCTTGCCCCAGTTCCTCCTCCCTGCCAACACCGTGCTCACGCCCTCACCGGCGTGTGTGCTGCTGTCTGTCCACCACAGTTGCCGCTGCCATCCACCAGCCGGCGCTATTACACTGCACATGTACTGTAGGAGGAAGCAGGACCACCCACGGCATAGCGACGCCTGCGGACACAACATTTGCTGTACCGCCTTCACCTGGCAAACCAGCGTATGGCACCTCGACGCCCACCAGAAGGGAATTTAACAACATTTGCGTGATCCACCAACCGCTCGCCTCCACCGTGCTGGATTAGAGGCAACGTGCGTGGCCACCGCGTGTGATTAAACTGCGTTTTCGCGTGTAGCAAGTTAATGGTCTCCATCTGGTCACTGATAACTACGTAAAAAAACGGGATAAATTATTACAATACTTGGTTTTTCACTTGAGTATTTAATTTATGAGGACTGAAATATGGTTTGCCGTGCGATTAACATCTCTAGAGCAAGAGGATGTGAGATATATTGTCATAGTTGAATCATCGATCATTTTAGGCACCTCAGATAAAGCTCTGTCATGTCATTTCCAGAGGAAGCTCTTTAACACGGGCAAACCACTGCATAATTCGAGAATTCGCTTATTTTCTTTCATTTTCTAAGGCTCATGGCATAATGCCAAAAGCACAGTTGGGATATTATAGTAAATAAGAAATATGTAAGGCGGGGTTTTTTTTAAAATTGTTTAGTATTTCTCTTTTTCTCTAGCCAACTCACGCTGTGTATGTTTGTCTCTTTATCTGACGATTGACACGGGCAATCCGGAAAAGGAAAACGTTTGCACTAGGAAAGTGTTGCTCATCTGGGTGAGGGTTTTAGGTTTAATCTGTGGGCGTCTTTGACAGACGGCCTCTAAGCCTAAATTCCTTTACATGTCCGTGTCATCGCACTCAAAACAACCGTCAGATGCACACCTGCACCCACTCGTGCAACATTGTTCGGCTAACATGCATACATCAACCACGCTGATGTATGTTGAACTTCGTTTGCACCGTATGTAGCCAACCGCGGTGTTATATGAGTCGTCGTTTCTGATGTTGATGGGTTCCATTTAGGGGGCAACATATTTGCATTAACTTTGACTTTTAATATACGTTTGGTAAATCCACAACAGTTTGGGCCCAGCAGTGGATAGACAAATGCAGAAATATATATTCCGTTGGAGGGTTATTGAAATTCGTCAGATTTTATGACAATAATTGGCATTACTTCATGGAGGCTACTTTACAACAATTCTAATTATCATCATAATCATCAGCCATAATCAAATAATTCGATCCACAGCTGGATGAAGGTCTCTCTCCACGTCGTTGCCATCCCTCGCACTCCAACTTGCTGCCTGCCTTCCCATCCTTCAGGTGTCATCCCGTCACCGGTATCGTCCATCGTCCCATCATCCTCCCTCCTCGTGATGTATCCTGCCTCAAAGGCCACTTACTTTTTTTTTGTTCAACAGTCTTAAGCAGTGTTTGTCATTGCAAGGCCCGCGGGCCAATGGCGGGTCCCCTGGTGGCCTTTAGCGAGGCCCCTGACGCAACCCCATCATCATCATCATGGTGCTGCTGTCACCAACCCCATCATCATCATCATCGTCGTGGTCCTGGCACAAACCCCCCAATGGTTTCAACCGCGTGGCGGCACTCACACTGGTGGTGTCTCATCGGCGAAAGTGCCCCCCCTCTGAAAAAGTAGTCAAGAACATTGGGCTCAACGGTGAATATGATGAATAGGAAAAAGAAAGACGGACGCACGGATCCGAGAATGGACGATAACATCATTTTGTGAATTCCCCAGACGATGTTCGTGCATCGTTGGGATTTGCGACGTTGACCCAGCACAGTTCAAATCACTAGAAAGCTTCATATCCATTAGGCTGCCCCCGGCTCATCAATAATTTAATCGTGTTTACCGTTCCGTTCCTGAAAGCTGTTCACATGGCGCTCTGCAATAGCGTTATTTCGCCAGAAGAGGATGGCATTTGCTCGTGAGAATGGGACTTTTAAATTATATCCTTGGCGCATGATGCCAAAAATGTGCAGGAGCTAAATACCAATGTCGAGGTCTTCTCGCCAACAGAAGGCTTCCGGACAGAGTTCGTGTAGTTTTGCAATTCCTCTTGCGTTGAAGGAGCGCAGGCTATAGTGGTTTACATATATATTTAAAGGCTTTTTACCCTATCTGGCATAAGTACATGTGCTAAGGAAGCTCATTAACTTTGCACTATAATCCAACATGCTAATCTAAGTTCATTTTCTTTAACATGCCACGCTAGAAGGGAAGTAATACAATAATAAAAATAAAACATAATAAAATATATATTTTTTACTTCCCTTCTTCGTGACTTTACCGAAAGAACCAAGAAGATGAATCCCTGCAGTCACGGAAGCTTTAACTCGTGACAGGTTGTTTTCCGAAGTTGGATGACCAGGCAAAGAGCGCACTTTAAAACTTGGTTTAATCACGGGTGACTGCTCAGATTCAAACCTATGATCTCACACAGTGCAGCTCAGTTGCCTGATCCTCCGAAGCCAACCAGCCATCACCCTTTCCTTCAAAAAATGTTTCAACACACCACATCAGAGGTCGAACTTTTTTTTTGTTGTTGATTTCTTTTTCAGTTCTCGAACATTTTCTCAGCTCCGCTTGGCTGCCACCGTGTTTATGAGCCACTGTCCCAGCCTGCCTTGGTGATGTTTTCGACACCTCGCCTCTGTTCTACCGATGATCTCCTCTTATCCGTGGGGGTAGTGGTGGTGACGTTTGCGACCAACATCTCGGAGTCCTGGGCTATTCCCGATTTTTTCTCCACGTATCCAAGGAGGGGAGGGGGGAGAAACAAAGATAACTGCGGATAATAGAGGGCCACGGAAAATAGGAATGTTCGTGGAGCCGACACTTCCCATGGAGTATATGAACCACAGATCATAGTAAGGAAGTCTGAAAGTTTGTTATCGGGCACTTGAATCCAGTCTATCACGAATGCGTGCATGGGGTTTTGGATAAGAGCAATTTTCTATTTAAACTAAACTATAAACAATTTTGTTTCATCTTATCAGGTAAGGCCCACTGAGTTATATACTGTAGCCCTTTTTCAGAAGCGGCCTGGCCAGAAATACTTTAAACGCATGTTGATTACACTACATAACACAATTTTTGTTCCTGGGTAGTAAGTGTTATTTCATAATTGCTTATGCCTAAAAAGTAGAGAA